CCTCGCTGCCCGCTGAGGAGCAGCCGGGGCCGCGTGGGCTGGCGGCACGGCCGCCTCAGCTCAGCTCAGCTCAGCCGCGGGGCCCCATCCCCGCGTGCTCTTCTCTGGGCTCCTGCGGTGTTTCCCGATGAGCGGCCTCCCGTCCCGGGAAGGTCCCGGACCGACTGGGGGAGGCGGGAGCACGGTGTGGCCGCCGCGGGTGTGCAGCCGTGGGGCACTCGCGGGTGCAGGTGATGACAGTTTTTTTCCCCATCAGAGCGGCAGTGTTGATTTCTCACTGTTCAAGCCAGATCGTGTCTGATGCACCTTGGGAGCGCCGCCGTGCCCCGCACCCTGGCAGGGCCCGGCGCTGACTGTCCCCGTTGCCTTTTCTCGCAGGGCCCCGGGAAGACCCGATATGGAGGGCCGGCGTGCGATGGGGGCAGCGGCCTGGTGTGCCCCGCCAGGCCTGAGCCTCTGGCAGGTCAGAATGGTAAGTCCTTAAAGTAGCTGTTCCTCGCTGGTTTAAAAATGCATCTATATATGTACTTCTCAGTGAGTTGTTTCTGCAGCGCTTTGTCAGGTTGGTGTCCCAGGAGACTTTTGTCGATGGGTGGTTTGACCACTAGCCTAGGTACTGCTGTGAGAAACTATGGACTAGGGTATTGTTTATTAAGATTTATGTTAAGCTCAATGTAAAGGTTAGGCAACAAAAGATATGAAATAGATTATGCAAACAGCTACCAGACACCGCTTGTGTAAGATAAGATAACCGCCAGATGTCCAGGAACCGACAGAAACAGGACAAACTACCCCGTATAAGGACATATGAGTGAAGGGGTCAACTATGGGACAAAGGAGGAAGACTCCTTACTTCGGCCTCAGCGACCACCAAGAGGCAGAAAACGACCCCCTAACAACAACTGAAGCATGCGCAGAGTACCTCTACTACTTCATGAACACGGAAGTAAAGATGTATAAAAAGGGACTGTTTGAACTGCTCAGTACGGCAGTTGGCGGAGCGCAGACTCCCCTGCCGTCCAGCGCTGTCTTTGCTCATATTCTACTTGCTATAATTCATAAAATTTTAATTGGATTATGATCCATTGTGGTCTCAATTTATAACACTGCAGAGCTGACAGAGGGTTTCCTGCAGCCAGGCCCTTTGTGCCTCGTCTCGCTCCCGCTGTGTGGAAGGGTGAGAAATCTGCAGCCTGGGAAGGGCGCTGGGTTGATGGCCCCCGTGGCCGGGGGACTGGGTTCAGGGCCACGCTGGAGACGGGCGGGCAGTCTGCTGCAGCCCTGGTGTGGGGCAGAGCCGGCCCGGCTGCGGTGGGCCCCTGGAGCCGGGGCTGCTCCTGGAGCTTTCCTCCCCTGCCCCTTGCTGGAAGCCGTGCGGTGGTGGCCACGGCGTGGGCCATGCGGTGCACGTGGCCGAGCCGCTGCCGCTGCCCGGGCTCTGACCTGCCCACGTGTCAGGAAGGCTTTCTGTGGCTGTAAAGGCTGGGCCTGCGAAAGTGCATAACGTGTTACCTCTGCCGGCCACCTCTTTGTTAGATATGTCTTGGCTGCCTTGTGCTCTGCCACGGAAGCCCTATACAACAGTGTTTTTTATCCGGATTTTTGTAGTATTTCTCTTGTCCCGTGAGCCTCTTTTGCAGGCCAACCAGCCAGCTCTCTTGGTAAAATAACTGAAGGACATAGGGTTCTTCCCCCACTGAAATTGTGTAGTTAGGCCAAATGTTTGTAGACAAGGAAGCCTATTCAGAGATAACTTATCTCTGAGTAGAATAGATAAAGGGGCCGGTACTAGCACAGACAGGTTTTTTAGATAACTATGTATGTAAGCTAGGTGGGAAGTAGGATTGAGCACGTGCAGAAGCAGAGTTCAGCTAGTGGACACCGTGAGAAAGACTGTAGATGACCACCAAAGAATGAGGACGCATGTGCTGAGGACATTGCATATGTTAAATGAGTTCCAGGAGATTGTATGACTATATTAATAATTTCTTGGGAAAGTGATGAATATATATACTTTAACCGTATATATTTAGTGCTGTTGAAATACCCCAGTGTGCACATTAGGTGGAGCCATCTCCTGTTGTCTGGCACCTCAATAAAGAATGCTTACTTTCTAAAACTTCAAAATGAGTTTTAGAGAGTTATTTCAGACCAGGTTATGGTATCAATTTGGCGACCCAGGTGGGACGCCACTCTTGAGCCTTGATGGATCCTGGAATTGTGGAATTTAAGCTGGCACCAAGAATTCATGGAGAGGACCCTAATAACTGGACCAAGAGCCCTTGAGCAAAGGACCACTGGTTTGTGAACATTAAAGCATTCTTTTGGGAATTTGGTTGGGTTGCCTGCCTGTCAGATGCAGTGAAAGCTACACAAGGTTGGGCTAAAATCCCGGGTGATGGGTTACAAGTTCCCCTTTGGATTAACCAAGGGTTAGAGTTTTATTTGATGCAAATGTTGAATGTAACTGAGGTACTTGTTACCAGAACTCTATTTGTTGTAATAATTACTTGTTTGTGGTGTTGTGTGAAAGATCCACTTTTGTGTGTAATCTCTTGTGTTTAATTGTGTTTCCCTGTTTTTAAAATTAGTAAGTGCTGGATCATCTTATGAGTGGGGGAGTTTTAAGGAAATCGCCTTTAGGTTGTATTTTAACACATTGGAAACAGATTACAGGATCCCCTGGTGGAGCTGCAAAGCATGATGATTTAATTAAATATTGTAATCAGTGGTGGCCACTGTATAAATTAGATGATGGAGAAAAGTGGCCTATGAATGGGACTTTGAATTACAATACTTTGCTGCAATTAGTTTTTGAGAAGGGAAGGAAAATGGGATAAAAGTATTGTATGCGATGTGTTCTTTACAGTAAGGCAACACACTGAGTGGCAAAAGTAGTGTGGAGTGAATGTGGCTTCGAGTGATCCTTTAGTGTTGGCCTTGGATAAAGGGAAGCAAGTAGAGGAAGGGTGTTGAAGAGGTGTTGTCATGCAGTATGGACAGATGTTTAAAATTGATTCAGAATGAGCAGCAGGAAGACTTAGAAATGTTGGTGGCCCCAAGGCTGAGGTGGAAGCTTCTGAATAGTGAACTTGAATTCTCTAGGGCAAGAAAGGAGTTGGTTGATGTCTGTGGAAGGTGCAGTGACAGAGGTAACACTGGTGGCGGAAGAAACTCGCAGGTGACTGTTGCAGGCCCTGCTGAGGCAAGTGGTTGGCACATCAATTTTGGTATCTGCCTGGGGTACCAAAGCTCCTAATTGGTTGAGACTTGCTAGAAAAGTTGGATGCTGAAATTAAATTTTGAGATGGAAATGTTGAACAACTTATATATACCAAAATCTAAATTTGTCCAGGCCACAGTGGTGGTATTGCAGGAGGTCGAGAAGATAGTGGAGAAAATCCTACCTGAAATTGAGCTGTGGTCTGGGCAGAAGTCCCTCAGAAATCAGAGAGCTGAACCAGTAAGCATAGAACTGAAACCAGGATCACTACTGGTAAGATTAAAGCAATATCGCTTAAGGCCAAAATTGGACTAGTGTCCCTCATACAAAAATTTTTGAAATATGGCTTGCTTAAAGGAATAGGAGTCCAAACATTAACACTCCCAATTCTACCTGTTAAGAAGGCAGATGGAAAATCATATAGGTTGGTTCAGGATTTAAGAGCTATTAATCAGATTGTTCCAGATACTCAACCCTGTAGTGGCAATTCCATATATGCTGTTGACAGCTCTGGCTGAAGAACAGGGATGGTTCACTCTACTAGACCTAAAAGATGCCTTTTTCTGTATCCCACTTGAACTTGAGAGTCAGGAGCTATTTGTGTTTGAGTGGGAGAATCCTGATACAGGAAGAAAAACTTAGTATACCTGGACAGTGATGTTGCAAGGATTTAAGAACAGCCCAACTATTTTTGGAAATCAACTTGAAAAAGAATTAGAACTGTG